CAGGAAATTAAATGTATGACTTTCATTCCAATAAAGAATTCCCTACCTAAAATCTTTGCTGCTGTCTTAGGACCTGCATCGCATGCGATTTACCTGCCCGTATAGGTTAATACACGTTCGTAAGCCATGATCACTTAGCACAAGCTACATGAGATGCTGCAACCTTGGTTAGCTGGCACGGTTTTTTAAGGAAAGACGCACCACGGAATTGCTGTTGTAGATAAATTGGTTGTGTTCACACAACGTGTTCGGGGAAAGACCAAGATGCTGTCTTCCTACAACATGCTACGTTTGGTTAGGGATATTTTTGGGGAGGGGGGGCAGAGCGACTTTGTTGTTGCGCCTCTGGGACCGATGGCATCTGGTATTGGTGCTCGTTCAAAAATTGGCTTTTAGTGTTGGGGGCTCAGTAGCCCAAATTTGCTCTTCGGCCCTTATGCCTCCCTGTCCGTGCTACTACGCTTAGAATCATGTGTGGTAGTTGGTTAGGTATTGATCTTGTTTTTTTCTGCTTTATTGTGCTTCACTTAGAGAATGTAACCTGCCATGCAATCCTCTGGAGAGTGAATAGAATAGAAGTAGTTTTAAATGAATGAATCCTTGGTGCAAATCCAGCCGGTTTGGCTCATGTATGATTTAACATCTTGTGTGATCCCAGAAAATGGGTAAATTTGGTTGCTGCTGCTGCTGCTGTTATTATTATCCTGCCTTTTTAATATATTATTTATATATTTTTATTTATGTTTATATTTAGCTATGGGGGGGTGAAGAAACCCGCTTTTTAAAAGTCCGTGGGGATGGTCTGTCTCTGCGATGGAAGGAGGTGGCAGAACCCCTAACACTCCCCCTTCGCGCTTTCGTTCTCTCCCCCTTCCGTTCAGATGCTAAAGATACAACTGCAAATTGGGAGATTTTAACTCTTGCTTCTGAACAGCTCTTGAACAAGGATCCAGGGAATTGGGATTAATTTTCAGCAGTTTCTTAGGCCACTCCGCCCTCTGCAGGCTCTTTTTCAAAATATATACAGTACTATATATCTAGAGAAAGAGAAGGAGGAGGAGAAGACTTGTATATGTTAACTAATGTTCAGTATTATTCAGCCTTCTACTCCTGATACTCAGGAAGAGGAAGAAAAGGAGGAGGAAGAAGAGGAGGAGGCGGCAGAGGAGGAAATATGCTGAATGGATGTTACTTGCTTAAAAATTCCTGGTTCATTTTCTTGAACCAAGGTCCTCCTCCAGATTTTATTTATTTGTTTTTTTTATATACATATTGCTTTATATAGCCACCCATCTCACAAATGTGACTCTGGGGGCAAACATAGGGTTAACCCCCCCCCAAAAAAGACAAGCAATAATAACATGATAATAACCTGAGGACCATCTAGCTCAAACCACCGAAACACGGAGTCAAACTGATGGGCTCACCCATCTCCAGACCCCACGCCTGGGGGAACATGCAGAGGTGTGTGGGGGGGTGCAGCTCTCTGCAGACAAGGCTGCTTGGAATTTTTGGAAGTATAGTCCAAACACACCAGAGGGTGCCACATCTGGACCAGCTGACCTACTTAGCAAAGTTACGCTGAAGTTGTTCTGGCACTTAATGGAGTAATGTAGAGAAGCAACTTTAAAGCTACATTTAAGCTTTGCATGTTGGGCAAATGCAGCTATTAACTCTGGAGCCAGGGGTCTCTGTAGGGGAGGGTTAAAAAAAATCAAGGTCGGCTGCAACAGTGCCATCACAGTCCGTATAAAACCAGGTTTGATGCACCGGACGTCTTGGCTTTTTTCCGACTTTGGACACCCCTGTCTTGAATTGAACCGGATCAGCTTGGGATGTGAACACGGCTGAGCAGCATGAGGGGATGACCTCGGGAGGCAGGAGG